AAAGGCAATTAGGGGCTTAAAAATGGTACAATTGGGTAAATACAGAAGTGTACACATGTAAACGCTTCACACTGAAGAGTTCACATGAGCCAAAATTGGGAAGCTAATGCTTTTGAAAGGCTGGGCACCGTGTGGATGTGGACATGCTTTGCTGTCCATTTGCTAAGATTTTTATTCATCAGGTTCAGAACTGAGGTGGACTTCTTGGTTGTTTTGAAGTTACTATGAGGATTTTTATCTGTCTTGTAAGGATAATAGGAAACATAAGTGTCAGCACTAAAGATTATCGAAACAAACTTTGGTATGCATGTTTTGTATTTTTTCGATTGCACTGTATTTGAAAAGGAATAACTTGTGATGTCCACCTCCACAGTTTGAAGCCCGTATTTGATATTGAGATCAGTGACATCATTTTCATCCAGTTTTCAGGAGCATGATATACCGAAAATGGATACCGTGCACGATATGGGGCCAATGGGTACCCCCCCACATGTCCAATCCTTATACACACCCTAGACTATTGTTACCTAACACATCCCCCTAGATGTCTGTAAAGAATTCCTGAGATTCCGATCAAACAATGACCAACACAAAGGAAGGGGGTGCTCTCCGCCCCATATCTTGCATCAAATGGGAACAGGTGGAAACTGACCGATAGAATCTAGTACTAACACTGTGCCATTTTTGTCCACTGCGATTCGGTACAGATTATCGCAGTAGTGAAGTACCCCGACGGTGACCCAACTCAACCGGCCGCCCGGACGCGAACAAATAACGCCAGTGAGACGTCCAGCACGAACACGAGTGTGACGACCGAGAACAAGCAACTCAAAGCCAGAATTCAAGAGGTATGCCCCCTTGGTATCCCGTATGAGAAACCTGCCTAGTTGAAGAAAGCACTGCAGTAGCAATTCGAGCGTAAAGGTCATAATTTGACATTGCTGATACCGTTCTCGTTTTGGACTATCATCAAGCAAATCCCATGGATTCTAAGCTGCATGTAGTGTGTCGTTGCTTCCTAAGTTATGGTAAAATTGAATTATGGGAAAGACTCTCACATTGCTTGGATACAAAAGTATGACCTTCAAAACTACAAAACATAGATATAAAACTAGCATTAATCCCGCAATGAGTCACACATACATTGTAGTAGAAAATCTCGGCAGGAACACTGCCAACCACACTGAAAATCAGCCTTCATGATTTTTGATGCATTTAACCAGTAACCTTGAGCATAAAGTGTCGGACCTGTACATGTACTACTTAAAATTATAGCTTTTAAAACAGGCAAGTTTGGGATTAACTAGCATAAAGCACCTTCTTGTGGTAGTCGCTGCGCAATATTTAAATATTTCATTTCTAAATTGCCATTTCTATACAAAATATTCAACAGCACTGTACAAGGCTACACAATATTTATAAAGAAATAAGTATAATTGAATATTGAAATTTACCGAAGCAACAGAATTACAGAAAATACAAGTATCAAAAATGTATTTAAACACTGATAACATTAGGAAGCGACAAGATTACACAGAAAATAAACTGACCGCACTAAAATACAAATTAACATGGCTCATTAATTAATCGTAAAGCTGGTTAAAAACAACCAAACGACATTATCATGATTCCCGGTCAACCAACACTGGAAGGAAAAGAAGTTGGCCAAAAATTCAGAAATTGCAAATGCCCCAAAAGACGCGGTCCGGAATAACGATGGAGCGAATGACTATTATGATACCTCAGGTAAATTTTGACACTTTAATCAGTCTTGCCTACAATCCCCCCCCCCAGCTGGAGAACCGGATCAAAGAAGCACAGGGCCACAGTCAGTCCAGCATGCATCCTGGGGCCGCTGAGGGCTGTGGGTGCTGGTCCTGCGGTCTGGTCTGTGGTTTTTCTGCTTCCAGAGAGAAAGACTACGGTGCTGATGAGGCCGTCCCCGCAGAGATTCACTCCCAACCCGTTGACATGGAAGAACCTGCCGGTGTGAGCACAGCGGCTGTCTAGCACCCAAAGGCAGTGGATTTTATCAGGGCAACTACAGTGCAAGAACGGGTCAAACTAGCTGAAGAGAACAACCTGATGTCTGTACAGTAGAGTTTTAACTTCAAATCTATTTTTAGTGTATTTGATTTGTTTCGTCACATTTCGTGTAATGGCACGTACCGTTTTATCTTTGTCAAAATTTTCCAGTTAAGCGCAGAAAATGCCGTCACAGCGGAAAAAAATGCCGATAACATTATTAATATTAAAATTCTGTTTGGGTTCACAAAGAAAATGACCGGTTGATCATGTCAAAATTAATGTCGTTGGGTAAAGACAAATACAGGCTTCAATCGCAAAATATTAAGTCTGTGTTTGTACCTGTAGACGGTCACATCAGTTAGAATGAACGACGCAAGACCTAAACGCTGTGTGAAGCTTGTGCCGATCGACTCTTAAAGTTGTGTAAACGATTTACAGTAATCTATATCCTTATTTACTCATATGACAAATACATGTAATGCAAAGCTTTGACGATATGAAGAATTGTACGATTAATCACAAATATAAATTTGACTAAATGTGAATTCTCAGCAGGAAAACATTTGGTGATTTCAAAAGTACTGTCCTGTGTGTGCACTTAATTTAAAAGCAACACAATTTGTGAAATAACAGTTTTCATCTAAACAATGGATATTACTTATTCTGTTCAGGATTTGCACAAAAACAGTATTATATATAAAAATTAAGGTCATATAGTGCACATATCTCGACTAGCCTCCGTCCAATCTGTGATTGTTGTTTATTTTGTAAACGTAATTTGCAAATTGTGCATTTTGGGGTTTGGTTGCAAAAGAGTTATTGCTTCCAAATTGTGCCTCTATAAAGTTATACATACCGTTAAGCCTCAGACATATTTTTCCAGACTTCAAAGATGAGCTTTTTATAAAAAAATGATGGACCGTCAACATAAGGGGACTAGGTTCTGAGTAACCCACTGGGAAGGAGTACACACCGGTATCAAGCAAACTATGGAACAGAGAGACCCCCCCCCCGCCTTTGTGTTGGTCATTGTTATACTGGTATCTCAGGAATTCTTTTCAGAAATCTAGGGGGATGTGTTGAGTGACAATAGGCTGGAGTGTGTATAGGGATTGGACTTGTATAAAGGAGCAAGTCAACGTTTCACTTGTTGCAGCTTTGTTTAAATAGCGCCCTCAACCCGATAATAATTGGCAAACGTAGCCACGTAGAACACTGCGCAATAATTCGTAAACAAAACAGGGTAGTTCACTGGTATATTGATGGTGGGTTTGAAAGATGAAAATGTAAATGGGATTGCAATATGTTGTGTTGAAGTACTATATTAATAAAAAAATTGTGTAAGAAATGTATTTTTCGTCTTTCAAAATGTCTTGCCTGGTGAAACATCGTCCGTGTTTTAAAGGAGCTTTTGAAAGAAACACGTGTTTGAATATTTTAATCAGTTGATTTATTGGGAATGGCTGAAGTTCACCGGATATGTGTGTTGAAATAACACTAGGTGTGGTCTTGCAAATGATATTTCTCGTGCGTTTCTGTAAGGAATTTCATTAATAAATGAATTTGTTTATCACGTCTCCTGATGTGAATAAAATCTATTCTGTTTTATAACCTTGTGAACTTTCAACCGTTTTTTTCACAAAAATTCACAATATATAGTTATGATATCGCCGAAAGTGAAAGATATAACACGCACGCAAGAATATATTTCAAAGAAAGGCTGACTTGTAAAGATTCTTTTAATTTAAAATTCTGTGTTTTACAGAACAGTTTACTTACAATTTAAGATAAAAGAAGCAAAACACTACTGATTAAAACAGAAATACGAAAAAAGAGCAAATGTAGACTTCAGATCGGTTCTTGCTTGCTACATTTCGAGCTTTAGTTTTGGCCAAAGTCCCTAATCGAAGATCTGTGAGCCAAGTCTTCAATTACGTTTCACAGTCATACCAGAGTACCAAAACACCCGTTTGAGTCGTCAACAGTCTGGAGAAATCAGAGCAAAGACCCTTTGGAAAAGTCCAAACATTTCTGCAGATTATTGTACATTATGCAATGCCAGCTCAAGTTTGCTGAAAAGAATCTTTCCACTCGGAAACTATATTCTTTCACACGATGTTTCAGATTTGTCAAACAAAAGGCAAGAATTAAGTGCACAGACGCAGTAGGACAGGACATCAGACGACTGGAGTTCTACACCGAACTCGGAAGTCTATAGCAAGACACTTCAATTTCGTTTCATGGGTAGGAGATTCTCTTTATGAAGACGGCTACCTCCGTGTACATCGGTTTTACGGCACATCGTGGCCCCGCTCAACGTCAAGGTGAAATTTATGCTGGCTTGCTTTAATTTGCTTACGTCACTGGCTACTTTAGTGTTTACTGATGCAGACTTTGTAAAAGTTGCATTTTGTGTTGTCTGGGAAATCTAATCGCTCATTCTCTGTGAGGAATGCGCGATGTCAACAACGTTTAGAGTATTACATGTGGGCTTCGCTTTACAAACAAGCATCAGGAATATAGAACAGAAACTTTACTGGCGATTGCAGTTAGATTTATTTTTGCTGCGTCGTAAAACTACTTACATTTACTTCACTATACATGAAAATAAGGAGATGTGTCTAAACCATATAGCCTACATGGGTTAAATTCAAACACCGTTAAAAGTAGGTGGTCCTACCCGAACAAATATATCATGTTAATACTAATAAGTGAAAGCAAATATTCATTTTGTCTTATCGTAAAATTCTTAATATTCTGTAATAAGAGTTCCTCAAGGCCAAATCTAATACATAAAGCCATATAGGTACCAGCATAATTACTGTGGCAATCACGCAGTGCATGACCTCTTTTGGTTGCAATATAATGGGGCCATAATGCCAGACGTGCGTTTGGTCAAGTAGCCCGATTAAAGTAGCGTTGTACGGTATTACTGGTCAAGGCATAACAGTCTTTTATGTTTGCCGTCAATGACGGAAGAAAACCCAATAGAGTCTGCCATAATTGAATATTTACCATGGGTGCCGCTAGTGTCTATGCAGCTTTTATTTTTATCTATGGTCCAGTCACTTATTTGATGAGGGTGAACTCACAGACCACCTTTTATCCTCCGGATGTTACCAACGACTTTGGGAGTGCGGTCACGACGGACCCAAACGGGCCTGCGGCTACCATGCTTCGGCCCCTGTACATCGGCGGGCTCTTTGCCCTGCCTGGTGGTGGCTTGGATGCCAGCGGCGCGCTGTTGGGTGTGGAGATGGCGCTGGAACATATCAACAATCGCTCTGATATCTTGGCAGGATACGAGCTTCGAATGGTGTGGAACGACTCCAAGGTAAGGCCGCCCCGTACCCACATCCTTCGGCTCTCAGTGAAAGTGAAGTTGCGACTCACTAGTTGAAACTTGTCTTTAAGTGTTTCTAGGACCACAAAGTTATGGCAATTTGGTATGTGACGATATAACAGTTTGATGAGTGGCATGCAGTATGTTAAGGGACTGTAAATTTGGGGACCCTGTTCCTATGACAGAAGGGAGAGCTACATTTTTACTTTTGAATTCACCTGAAGAGAGTATTAATTGCCTTGTTTCTTGGGGGGAAGGACTTACCAGTTTTGCAAAATTGGGGGGTCCCCAACTATATACAATCCCCGTATACTAATCACAAAATAACATTGCATATTTGTATATAGCTAACAATCATAAACGATGCTCTGATGCTCGTAGCGCTGTTAACACAACTACAGATACATCGAAGAAAGCGATCATAATGGAAAGCCAAATGAACAAACAAAAGCAGTACAATACAATAGCATTATTAAGCGTTAAGGAAGTATGAACATGTAAGTTTTCAGTTGAGCTGTGAATTTATCTTGGGAGTTCAAGTTCAGATTGTAGGGCCAAATTATGGAAAAATGCACGATCAGCAGAGGAGTGTCTGGTTGTATCTGAAGGGTGCGTGTGCGCGTGCGTATTAGAAGATCGAAAGCGTCACAATCATTGAGCTATATACATGTATATAAAAACTAGAGCACTAATTTCTCATTCTCCTCTTGAAGAAAATTTGACGCTGTTGTGGGCGCAGACATTTTGAACCCATGTGCGTGCTTGTAGAACATTTGAAATTGGATAGAATGAATATCGAAATACGTACTCTAAATGCAACGCACATCAGGTACCGCTCAACTCTGATTTCAAAAGTCAAGGCCATAGAGATCATAAGTAGCTCTACTATGATCTCTATGGTCACGGCAGCGCTGCAGCACACACACCCACGCACTTGCGTTGTTTACAAAACGCAAATGCAAAATGAAACGTTCATTTAGTGATTATGCGTTAGTTTTTTGCAGATTGGTTTTCAGGACGTTTCGTTTTAGAATGCAGGCGCATGCAATTAGCAGAACAAAAGCCTTGCAAAAGTTCGACTTTTCTGTAGGTTTGTGCACAAACATGGATGCGCACAGCAGACATCACTTTGTACATGAGCCAGCGTTTTAGTTTTTATATAGCTCTATGTTCGCAACGGACCTTTGCCATGAAATAATGCCAATTAAACAGGCGCGTGCACGCTACTTCCACTTGTTGACAAGCGCGGCCGTCAACACTGTCGCGGGCAGTGTAGGAAAGCTGCTTGCGGGCTGAAGCCTCAAAACCGTATTACAGCCATTGCCTGATACGTCATGACGCTTTAAAAATAAACTTTTCCGTGTCCTGAGGTTGGAAAGTAACAACCTTGTCTTTAAGTTTGGCACTCATGTTAAACGATATTAGTACAGAAACGGGTCGTAGTTGCTCGCGCAAGGAGATTAATGTTACTGGTACGTCATAGATAATAAACATTGTATAGCGCCGCACAGCGGTCTTTGATAGAGAATAGAGCCTAAAAGTAAACGGTCACGTAGCGAGCTTCCGGAACGCGCGCGATGTCTACCTATGGGGATTTTACATTGGGCCGTCCTACCACGTTCAATAATTTTTGGTAGAATAATTCCTAACTTAAACCACCCCATGAAACACTCGTGTTGGAATTTTAACTTTATCTTCCTCAACTAATATGTGGGAAAAGTTACCTGGAGATGGGTAAAAAACGAACTCCATCGAGATTGCCTGTATGTATGACGTCAGCAAGAGTCCACAGTTTTTTCGCGTTCGCGTAAAACGTGCGACTACTAAACCTGTCTAGTAATGGAGATGACATGCGCACTTGGGTACTATTAGTTACCACGCGAGCGCGAGTGGAACACGGAATCGTTTGTGGCCCAACTTCGACTCCATAAGCTGCATGCGTGCTCTTTTACTAGCCCCTGGTCGTGCAAAATACGAAAATATAACACTGACTGGCTATTCAGAACGTCGTACTGTCAAACTGTATAATCAACATAACATATCTTCTGCGAATTTCGTAAACTTTAATGTGGAAGTAGTGCGGGTACCAGTGAGTACAAGTTCACGTCATGTAATCTGGATAGCAGTCCATGCATTATCTTATACGGTACGGGGAGGGGAACGATATTATGTTATACTAGACCGGTTCCTGTCCCATACGTAGTCTCCAGAAGTCTTACAGGCGTCCTACGAACGGAGGGACCAGTAGCGCTCAATGCACGAATCAAGCAGGAGCTGATAACATATTTTGCTTTTCTTTCTACGTTACCGAAAGAGCTTCACCATAATTGTTCAGTTATCTAGAATTTAACACAATAACCAATGATTTGAAATAAGTTGCTGCAAAATGATTTATTGATGCCAATCGTTGACAAATAAATTAACACACTGTGATCAACAGAGACTTAGCAATGATAGTTATCTGTGGTTTTGCGTCTTTGCTGAAACGTGTTTCATGCAAAAGCATAGATACTGACCTGACACAACCTTAAATATTCAGCATCCGAACTGACAGGGCTAACAGCACAGGTTAAACCACAGCTGGCTACAGGACCCAATATAATGTCAATGAAAGAAACATTGTCTAAATAATGAAATAATCTGTTATCAGTTAAAACTGACTTTTTCATCCCAGAAAATAGTTGTTAAATGTAAATCTTTAGACAATTTGTGAATTCAAGTTTTTAAATCTGATTAATAAGTGTCTGTGGTAAAAACGGCAGTAAGTTAGTTTAGCTACTCTCACTTTGAAAAGATTCTCGCACTTTTGAATGCCACATGTAAGTTTTCAATAAATTTATTCAGTATATGAATGAATTTCAGACGATTTTTCCTGTGAGTGTTGTTAAGAATCTGTTTAATTTCAGTAATGTATAGTTTTGTGAAGGTTATGCAAATTAAAACGGCCAATCGCTCGCGATTGGCATATTTACCTAGCTGAACCTATGTTCCATGAGCTTTTATTTGCTC